ATAGTGAAGACCAAACGGCCAGAAGAAATTAGCAACAAGAAACTCTGACTGGGAATGAACCCAAAGCCGATTGCTCAACAAATATGTGGAAGAGAATGGATATGGGCATACGTTGAGGAGACCGTCGAATGACATCGCGCTAGGCCGTCGAGAGGAACCCCGATGGGAAGTGACGAGCAGGTCTTCCAAGGATGACATGGAAGAGGTCTTGCGGGGAGGAGATGAGAGATTATGGGTAGTCTTGGGGCCAGCTGAAGGGGTCTCAGCAAATAGAAGAAAGTGGAGGCGTGCTACTGAAGCTGTTCCACTCGGAACCCAAGGGAATAAGAATGATTATTCATTCATCACTCAAGGGCTGCATGTAAAGTGCTCATTTAGGTGTAAAGCGCCGGTATAAACTGATCAACACCAGAGAACTCCAGAATTACGTGGTATACATTTCTGTGGGCACTGGTGTGATCCTGGTACTTTCAAAGACATGCCCGGGAATTCAACTCAAAAAACGCAATTAACCTGACTGATCGTCATACCGTTGTCTTCCAGTTTCCGGAATACTGCCCGAATGTTATCTTCACTTGTATTTATAACCAGGCTAGCAATGAGTGGATCGTTTATGTACGCCTCAGTAAACTGCTGTTCAGTCAGTAAGTCATCCATAAATCTTTGGAGTGTTTGCGCAGCGTTCCGGAGACCAAGTTGCAACCTCCCAAATATGGTGGTAATGTCTTTTTCAGTTGTATCTTCCTCATCGACCAGAATATTGTGATAGGCGCGAACTAAGTCACTTTTATTAAATATTTTGACTGCTAATAATGTCATGAATGTACGGTATTGGGTATCTATCAGGTACGATTTGTCTTCTTAAATTAAGGGTCTTAATCAGTCTGATTTTTCAGGCACCATGTATAACAGCGAAATCCACTGACTACTCGGGGGCTGAATATTACCCCAAATGAAGCCTATAATCAAATTTGGCTTTCGTTATTTGTAGCTTCTCAGGAACCAATCTTCATATCTTAGCGAACAGTCGGGAGCCGCATGTCCTTATAGTATAAGAAGGTTTCCAGCCTGCCTTAGAAGTTTGGGGCTTGGCTGCCATCAGAGTTGGCATTTTCAGGAACTTTTTGGTTGACTGAACTAGATTCAGTGAATGGTGCTCACTCGATTTGCCACCCGTATACCAGGAGGTTTCTTTCATTGTTGAGTTTTTCTTTTGAGTGGCCACTAACAAGTAATGTCTTTACAGGAGTTTTACGATGACGATTGCTTCGTATAAATCAGCACCAGTTAACACCCATGGAAGCTATCGCTTAAACGTGGCGTTAAAGGTTAGAGTTTTCTGCGTGGATGTACAGGCAACCTGCAGCGTGGCGAAGGATATTTTTCATGCCGGCTATGCTTCCGCTCTTGATATGATACTGAATGCAGCCCCTGTATCAAACAAGAAGACTATTTCAGAATTTTTACCCCTAATGTCCAAACACACCTCAAATATCAACTACTGAGAAGGGGTTAATGGTTATTCAGCTACTTATGGGGTAGTTTAGGTTAGATGCACGGTTTTGTGCGTTTTATTGAATGTGTGCCGAAATTCCAGTGATATTAGCGGAATTGGCCAGCTGGCCGAGATTGTTTGGGTTTAATCTCTAGCAAAGAGCGTTCTGTGTTTGGCGATCAACCTCGTCTACCCTGTGTTAGCTGTGTTTGTGTCAGTCGTTACGTCATCGATGTAACGTTGGCCACTAGCTTACAAATTTTATGTCTTTGCTGGTACCGGTCGCTTCGTGTCGCAGACAGCACAAGAACTGTGATGGGGACATACCTACCATGTTTTCCAACTGAAACAACCACTGTATACGCTGGTTTTCCTACATGAGAAGGCGATTCATCACATCACACTTGAACACTGTGTATTGTTGCTCGTTTAAAGGTCTCGCGCCCACTTCTTAATCTCATTGGGTAACTAAGAAAACACGTCCTTATGCGTGGTGGTTTTGGATTTATTGCTATGCTGGTCAAAGTAGTGTTCTAGTTGAGCCAACCATAGATCAGGGCCATGTCAAAACCAACTCACCAGTTTAGAAACTTCCTTTGCTATCAAAATGACTATTCAGATTCCCCACCGGCGACCCTTATTATTACAGAGCTCTACTGTTGTGTGTGGACCTTTATTTTCGCAAGCACGGCAGAGGGCAAGTGAAGGAGGGATTTTTAGTCGGACAATCGGAATGGCATCCATCATCCATCATGACAAGGAAAGACTTGCAAATCATAAATAAGACATAGTTCCTAACTGGCTGCTCGTTCTGTCATTGTTAGCTCCTCAATTATTTACTAAACTTGAGTAGCCATAGCATACTGAGTTGCGGAGGTCCTATAATGTGTCTTTAGTCGTCCTAGTCAATGTTTTCTCCCTCTAAGCTTTGTTGATTCTCTGTTGTTGAGGCGTAAGAATGACGTGACTCAAGCCCGTATCCAGTGTTAGCTCCAAAATGTATTTCCTCCGGAAATTAAGGACTGTGGAACACTATGCCGACTTGGATTACTTTTCTTATCTGAGGAGCGGCTAGTCATGGTGGTTTAGTAAAAGCTTTCTTTCCTGCCTGTTGATTATGTATCCTCTGACCGCAAATTTAGTTATGCAGGGATACGAAGTGATAATGGACTACAATCCAGTAACATTCAGAAAGTATTCCTCAATTTTCTCAGAGACTACCATAGTATCTCCCCAACATCATGCTTTCACCACTACGGCGCATTAGCATGACTCACACAAAGGAGAGGGAAAGCCTAACGCGCATGCCTAATGAAAAATATTTTCAGGTACAAGGAATGCTGTATCGTTTTAAAGGCACACTAACTGGACATGTAGCAACCGCCACACTCTCATCTTTTCAAGAACTTACAGTGCGCGGTATTTTTTCATTGAATTCAGGAAGCCCCAAAGATGAATCAGCCGTTGAACACTGGATATCCGAAGATCATCTAAGTTCGCAAACTTTTCGTCTCCAATGAGTTAATGACAAGCCAAGGCACGTGAATACTACTCGACTTTGGCCTCGTGCAGTAGAAATAAACAAGTAATTCATCTTCGATTAAATGTAAGGACCTTCGATGATCCCATAGGTTTCCACGGAGTCTCGGAACTCCATCTTTCTGAAGTATTTCTAGTTTCATTCGCAGTGTCACGAAAATTGGTAACCAAGTACTTCGGAACCTGTTTCCATAAACCAGCTGTGGATTGGCAGTTATGCGAACGGAAGCACTGACGTTTTTGGTGGACCCTGTAGTAACTGGCTTTTCATTTGTTGACCACTAACTGACTTTGCGAATCATAGGCTTGTAAAATAAACCTCTGCATCACTTGATGAGTTTCTGATACTTTTCCTGTAATGTCTCGCTAATTTCTTTTGGATATTCCAAAATGAGAATTATATTGGAGTGACTAACTGTTTCTGTACCTGCAGTAGCAATAACCCCGGGTACGTTAATTTATTTGAGCATTTACATGGATGCAATGAAATATTTTTCAGGAAGTTATTTTTGCTTATCAGTTTGAGAGGCCTGGATAGAGATGATATTACTGCTTTGTTCGCTGCATGTCTACTAACGTTTTGAACATCTTAGTCTCCATATGTCGAATTCATAGTCGCCAGACTCTGTGTCAGGTGTTGCTTTTTAAACAAACCACTAAAAAGTTTGTTCGCTCTAAAGATACGTATTGCGTTCAGTCATGATCTGTTAAATCTTCCATTAACATAGGCCTTAACCACCTATGGAAAGCCCCATTCAGGAGGATGGGTTGGATTTAAGCGATATGTCAGTTGATCTAATTGGCATGAATAAGTGGCAAGTTATTTCCAATACTAGCATAAGCCGAATGGATTAAACATGACTCAAACAAACACGATATTGACATTGCATTGGTTTTCTTACTTCCTGATGCGTGTTTAACATACGACACACTTCGATTACGTTGTAAACTCGGTATCTTGATGAAAATTCAGCCGGATACAATCAATCTTTGAATCTTTCTATCACCGCCGTTTTGGTTATGGAAGAGTAGGTGCTTCATCACAACAGGCCGCTCAATATTGGTTCCTACATTAATTACGTGGAACTTACTTTCTGTTTTCCCACCGAACTGTCGCCAAAAATATTATGAATCATATCGTTAGCTACTGTTTATCGTATCAAGATGGAAAGTTGTTCATTGTCTGCCATACCATCATGCAAGGTGCCACTCATAATTTGGAGTTGAGTATCATTCGAAATCGTTTTGTTAACAACGAAAAATTTGGTTAGGTGGATCATAAATTCCAATCTGTACTTGAAGCAGTAAGTTATTACAATGCATATTGTGAAACATCGAAGATGATGCAGAAAATAGGAAAATTTGAACAAACTGAAGGTCTAAAGAGGAAAAAGGGCTGGCGAAAAACGAAGCCAGGTCTGAAATGACCAGAAGCCTACCAAAAATGAGTCTGGTAGATGTGATTTATACGGTGAATGAAAGAGTGCGATCAGATGTTATTTAAGCGTAAGCATCTAAGCATCTTCAGTTTAATTCAAGCTCTGCAAATGAATGTCGGTGATTTTTGACTCAGTATATGTTCTCTGTCTGGTATTACTGAGATTATTAGGTAACCGCACCTTGGCAGCAACAAACAAGATAAAGCACACAGTGTGGAAAGACAAGGCGTTACCAAGTATTTACTGGGCGTAAAACAAACCTTTTCAGTATGAGTCTGATGTCAGTGGATGAATTATCCGTAGAGACATTTAGTTACGTTTAAGTAAGGTCAGAATAGTGGAAGTATTTCTTCACAAATTCTTGGTCTTGTAGTTTCACAGCAATTAAACCCTAAGAAATGAAGGAGCCCTGGCACATACAGTTCGGAAACCTAGAACTGTTAGCTTTTTGTATCCTTCATATGTAAATAACACTAAATACTGTAGTTAGCATTGGACGTGAGTAGAGGCGGTCTCTTAAATGCAATATTTATTGTCCAACAAAGGCGGCTTTTCGGATTTTTCGGACAGAATATGGATTGTAGCCTTTATATGCTGTTTTAATTGTAATTATTACTCATATTTCTTGGGGCTTTGAGGACCGTTTGTTCACAAATACTCTCAATCAATAAATTACGTCAGCTACGCTAGCTGTAACCGGGCTGTAATGTCTTTTGGTACTGATCCTCGTCTTGGCTATTCTGGAATGTGTGAAGACCCGTCTGTTTGTCGTGACTATCTGCGAAATGTTTGTAAACGTGGCAAAAAGTGCAAATATAAGCATCCATCACCTGAAGAATGCGAGAGGCTTCGGTAGGTATTTTAAAAGTTACTGTTCAATAGCATAATAATACCTTTTACAGCTTTCAAACTTTAATCGTATTTCATATTAGCCTGTTTCCATAAAAACAAAATTGTGTATTTAAAGCTTGGTATAATTTTCATAAAGGGACCTATTCTTTTCTGCTTTGATAAGTATGTGGTGGTCAGTTGATTGGCGTAACCGTCATAACTGCCGTCTCTGTTAAGTGAGTCTTATGCGAAATAGCTGAAAATCTCGGGCATACGGAAGGTCCCATAGAAAAACAGACTGTATTCCCTATTCAATAAGGCAAAAACGGAAACCAACCTCCTTCCATCGGCTTCCAGTTGCGAAAAGATGTTATAATGAAAGCCAGTATGCAAGAAATATATTTAGTCAAGTTAGTCATTTAGCTCTCAATTCCCCGATTCATTGATCATGTAGCAGGCTTTAATCTGATGACAATATCCAGCTGCCCAAATTGAAGTGGGTGAAGCGGAACTAGAAACCTAGACACACTTATTAAAAGCTGTACCAGTTAGCTTCGTTTCTAGTTTTAGCGGTAGAATACAGTTGCAGATCTGAAATCAGTTTAGTTCCAACTTGCAACTAGGAGACCTGAGTTTTCACGACTAGCGTAGTTAGTTGAATGCAATTGTAGAGTGGTTTAAACTGGGTGATGATGATTATTCTTGTTCAATCTGTTCATTTCGAAGAAAGGAAAACGATGACTTAGTTCAAGTGTGTAAAGTGTTTAGTGAGCGCAAAGGTAGCGTACATTAATCAAAGGTACTAAGAGTGAATTGAGTTCATTATGAAGTAATTAGTATGCGAGATGAATGAAGTGGTGTCATTAAGAGAGATAATACTTTTGATAATTAAGACCAGTTTGGTAGCGTCAGTGTGTGTGCAGAAATCCACAAGGATGTAAAATTTTGCGGAATGAAGGGTACGTATTTGACTGTTAGCAAAATTGCAGGAAATAGGAAGGAGGACATGGGTGTAAGAACAGTACTCAGTCTAGGGCAACGTTGATAAATTCTAGTTCTGATTTTCGGAATATTGGACCGCAGTGTGGTCAATCCTATTGCCCCTTAGCTTTATGTATGTATAGACCACGGGATTGTCTTCGGTATGTCACACTAAAGTTTTTTCTAGAGCCTAAATTATGCCTTTTGTCTGAAGTATGCTAAGGCAAAGCTTTTTATAACCTTGCTTTCACGAACCTGTCTAATCGTACGTCCTATGTAACATGGTCCACAGAGGTAGTAAATCAGTATATGCTTGAGGATAAGCTTAGATGGAATTCATTTATTTTGGAATTTGCGTCTGCCTTAATAAACTGTCAACTGACGAATTGTCAGCACGGATACAAACGGCTCGTTTGGTACTTGCTAACTTACGTTATCTGTGGCGTAGACGTGGTAACCGTCTATTAATCAAAGGAATTGTTTGCTCTATCCTTCTTTATGTTTGAGATATGATGGTTTAAAGTGGAGACTAGCTGTCTTTAACCACAGGTATCTGCGTTTTATTACCCGTGTTAAGTGGTATGATATGGTAGGTAGTATTGACGTGTGGTGTTAGGTAACGAGGGAAAGTCGATAAGTTTGTGAAGTTGCTTTGACTGAGTGCACCGAGCCACTGTAACAATAGGGGTTTGTAACGTCATAGAGTCACTCGCCCGACTGATTTACAGATTACACTTTGACATGGTAACCGGGTATGCATGTCACTGTTACCTAGTGAACTCTTTCAGTTGCAATCAATGTTCCTCCAGGTCTTATCACACGAGAAAGGTTTAGTGCAAGCTGGTTAGACTAATACCAGTTACCATCGGTGTATGCTGCTTACCCTATGTTAATCCTTAGCGGCAAGTAGTTTTCAAAAGAAAAGAAATTGCACAGAAAGCATCTTCAAGTATGCTATGTATTATCAGTCCTAAGGTGTTGTCCCATATACTTTCAAACCTTCGGTACTTCGAAGGTTTTTACCCTTGATAACTGTTTCGCAGTCGTAAATTAAGGTAGTACACACCGTTACTCAGAAGGTTTTATTTATAATTATCCGTAAGATAATCTACTAATAACGAACATGCAATATTTTGAAATGATTATGATTGGCATTTGCCATTTAAAAGTGCTTCATTTTCTAGAACAGTATTGCAATGTAACACTGGCTTAGAAGGTCTTGTTAGTTAATTATTGATTGTGTTTATTGGGTCACAGTTTGATCTCACTATAAATTGTGCTATTCTACAGGTCATATATATATATTTATTGATTCGCTTGATACAATCTTTTGATTGGTTGGTGAATAATTATCACTGAGGTTTTTTTTCATTTTACAGTCGTTTTGACAAGACGTTTTGTCATGACTTTCAAAATTCAACTTGTCGCCGTTTGAATTGCAAATTTTTGCATTACACAAAGGAAGAAGAGGAGGTGTTCCGACGTACTGGTTATCTACCCAATGATGCACAGTGGTCTCATCGCTCGGCCTCAAATAGTTATGATGAAAAAACACCAATCTGCAAGGTATATGTTTGAGAAAACAAACTGTTGTATATCCCTTGATTTCCAGACTGATTTAACTTTTGAATTTGATGTTTAACTGTGTTTCTAGCAGGTATATGGAAGGCAGTAAGGTTTATGTTTATCTTGAATAAGCGAAATCAATCTTAACATAATGTTTGTCATGTAGTGAATTTTTATTTTTCCGTACAGTTGGATTAAAACATGGTCTCAGGATTTATAAAAGAAGCTAGTCTCGAAGGCTTTCTGTATTTCACATATGACTTACTTTCTTATTTTACAGTTCGTCTGTACATACCCTCCTAACTGATGGAACTTTATTAAAGAGCCTTTTTTGTTGACCTGAAATAACACGCCAGTGTATGTCATTAGATGGTTGGATACAATCTTCAGGAAGTTTCGGACCTAGGTTTCGTGCTTGTTGGTACTCGTCAGCGATCTTGAAGGAACTTATGCTCCTTCTGAGATCCGAACCCGAGTCAGCCAGTGCTGCAGTCAGAGACGTTACCACTGAACTTCCTGCCGATTGTCTCCAGCTATGTAAGAACAATTTCGAGTGCACCGTGATGGGAAATCACTTAGCACAGTAACCACATTACAAACTTGCCTGGTAGAATTCAGTCTGCATTAAACAAAGGATTAGACGCACGGCACCAGTTAGTGTCCAGTCGAAACACCAGTTTGTGCTCGTAGAGACTTATCTTGTGCCTAAATTTATGAAAAGCTGATTCGAAATGAGACACCCTCCACTCCTTATCGTCATATTTGTTAGCACCAAAGCAATCTGGCCATATATATGTATACATATATAACATTGAGGAGTTACCCCTACTAAGTTGTCTAGTTCGTAGTTGTATCTGAATTCTACGATTCAAGTTTGTTGTGTGGTGGTCATCAGACTAAGCGACAAGCCATCGTTGTACAGTATTAATTGATGTTGGATAGTTTGGTGCATGTGACAGGACAGCTGCAACTAAGTTCCATTCTTATTGACACCTATCAGCACGGCGTATCTGGAACATTGAGTGGACTGATTTCCCTTTAGAAAAATAAACTTATATGAAATTACATTCTATCACAGTGCCCAAGTTCCATGCTTGTTCCAAGCTTGTTGTCACTTATTACTACAATTCGTAGAACTCAGTGGGAATGAATAAATACACTGGGTTGATAAATAGCTGTAAGAATTGGGTGAGACTCAGGCCTAGAGCTTCCTACCGGTCGCCTTCAACCATAAGAAATCTATATGTAAACTATTATGATGCTATGATTAGACCTTCCTGATTAATGTGTGTTTTAGACGGACATTTGTGTTCTGTAGAGTCGCCGAGGAGGTCTGTGATTCTCCTTCATATATGATGTTATTGACATTGAATAGGGTACAATTTATCCTTTTTGTTCTGTTTAACTTAAAATATTGTGAATATAATAATCGGAAAATGACTTTGCAGATACATTTGATGTTTAGCTGTATTCGCTATCATCAGTGTATTAACAGCAGTGCATTTTCATGATGAGTTTCAAATCAAGTTTTGTATCCTCCTTCTGTCATTCTTTTGTTGCGTATTACTTATTATTCCACTATCGCCTTAATACATCGTGATCATTAATCAATATATAAATCAGAACGTGATGATTTTTATCATTAAAAACAAACTATTTGTACTTTCCGAAGTTTATTCCATTTGCGGTGTAGCGATTCAATGATTAACTGTAAATAACGGACAGGCTGTCCGACGCAGCATTGTCCTCTCTACATGTGCTTTGTTTTATCGCCCCAATTGTCCGTAAATGTCATTGTTTTTGTTTTTGTTGTAGTGTTCCAGTGTTTTATTACTGTACTCGATGTGGATTATAGTAGGCTGAAACAATGTCTTACCTGTGATATTATTTATATGAGTCCACTTAGTTAGTTGACTGTATTTATGAAGTGGTTTGAACTAATTCGGCTTTCTGAGTGTAAAATACTTGACCAACGTTTAAATGACCTCCATCAGATACATTAGTACCATGAAGGTGTTGGTGTGAATAATGACCAACCAACCAATCATATCAATCAATAGTATGTGTTGTATTACTTTCTTAATCCCTATCGTTAGTTTCATCAAATAAAATTTATTCCGTCGATCAGTTACGATGAAGTTATAAGAAGTGCATTCATTGTAAAAGAGAAAAGAGATTTCTCTTCTGTTTAACTTGTCGATATGCTGATTTCTTTAGAGTTATGTATACAATTAATCCCTGAGTGTTTTTGTTGGTTTAACCATTTTTTTCTTGTCCTCATAATCTGTCCATATAGGATTTCGCCAATGGAGCCTGTAATCGAGGAGCTAATTGTAAATATCGCCATGTCACCACACAACAGGCACAGGAAGTAGTAAATCCTACTCTCTATAATCAGTCAAATTTACAAGAAGCTAGCTATGTCAGTGAAAACACACCAGCTGCACATATTGATCCTTCTCTGTTCAGTAATTCAACTCATTTCAGCCAACCGTCACTGATAAATAATGCAGTCATTGTATCGCCTACAAATTCAGTCTTAAATCCTGTAAGCAATGCATATATTCCTGGTGTTTCTTCACATTCACTTATGGGTCTTATTAGTAATACATCTACAGGACAACCTACTCTGTATGCTCATTCATCACTTGTCTCAATTACCAGTGCTCCTCATATTAGTCCTTGTTCTTCTGTCATCACAGTTGCTGCTAGTCCCACACAACATCCGAATGTAATTCATCCTCAGACAGCATTGTCTGCGCCTCATGCAACCTATCACATTGTTCCACACGATACTACTTCACATCACCATCTACTTGCAACAAGTTCAAGTCATTCACAAGCTCCAACACTATTAACCATTCCTCTATCTCAGTTTACTTGTAATGTCAGCAACAATAGTTTAATCCAATCTCAGGCGGCTATAGCTTGTTCTACACAACATCATGCTGTTGTAACTGGTGTGTTACCAGCCCATCCGTCAATATCATCTGCATCTGCAACCTATTATCCATCTTATGGTGTATTTCATATTAATCAACCCCCTGTAGAGAATTGTGATCAACAACGGGTTACAGCGGTTGAGATGCAAAAACAAATTCATGAAACTAGACCTTCAAGATGTCCAACATCAACAGCAACAGAAACAACTAGAATGACACCAGTTTCTGCTACAACGACGAAGACGGCGACAACCTCAGTTACATCGGTGTCTTCGTCAACAACAGCTGTATTAGCTGCAGCAGCAGCTGCTGGTTATATTGCACAACATTTACCTGTTATTGGTTCCAATAGTCTATCTAGTGGAAGTAATATATCTCAAGAGCATACTAATTATATGAATAGTAAAACTGGTAATCCATCGAAAGGTGTAAGTGTACATGAATCAGCTATAGCAGCTGCAGCAAATCTACCAACAGTGTCGGCTGCCGCTGCAGCCGCCGTAGCAGCAGCTGCTGCATTCGCTTGTTCCACTTCGATGTCACAAAATTCGAAGGTGAGTTTTAAACTAAGTGTCTGTATGGAATTATGGAATTTTCTCATTCTTCTTCCACCTGAAGTTTTGTTTACACTTAGTGTATATCTTTGTTGTGAAGTTCGGCCGTGAGTGAATGGAGTACTGACAAAGTATGTTACACTAAACTAAGACAATCTCTTCGATCTCATACAGAGCCTATGGAGAGCTGTTATCTGATGTGATGATGACAACCAGTGGTTTCCACCCACTGTCCGCACTTTTGTCTAATTTCATCATAGGATGTACTAACTGAATTGATTCTGACTGACTTTAGCGAATTAGAGATTGATTTGTTACCAGGAGACAATCTTCTTGTGACTAGGAATGTGTAAATGACATTGTCTTCCTAGATGAAAACACTGATAAAGTGCAGAGTCCTCCTGAAAACTTTGAGCTGAAATCTTCGAATATTTGGTGTGTGATTCCCTCTTGTCAAATGTCTACGCGCTCACCTTGTAACCAGAAGCTCCTGGGTTCGAACCGCGGTGGGTGCGCATTGCTGAAGAGCCCCAAACTAGGACGAAACAGCTGTCCAGTACCCCCTATTGGCTTTCCAGTGGTTCTCTAACTGATATCATCTCATGATGAAATCCTTCATCCAATCATGTGGTATTTGTCAAATTACATCATCTTGGGCATAGACGTGATATCCGGCTATATTGATCAAATCGCACGAGTACTGCAGCTGTTCGCACCGCCCTCCTTTATTGATATGAGACAAGGCCATTGAAAGAGAAAGATATAAAAAGACTGGCTGTCTTTGACCAAAGCTGCTAGTGTTCTGTCTCCTGAGCTGAGTGTTATGTTATGGTAAGCAGTATTGACGTTGGATGTAGAGTGTTGGGTGGTAAGCGAGGGTAAGTAGTTGATCGATGTGGTTGTGAAAGTGAATCTCCACACACATAACTATTCTTTCTACTTCCCATTTCTGTTTAGTATAGTCTTTTCTTGAATACGTTTTTCTCTCTTTTGTCTTTCTTTATGTGCTACACGGTGTGCAACAACTTGAACTGTTGCACTTCTGTGTTGAAACTCAGTCAAATCTCATTATATATATACATATATATATATGTATGTATGGTGTTTTAGAGTAGTCGCTTTTGCCTAGACCAACGACCTGCTGCTCTAGTTCTGTCCTCATCCTGAGACGGACTTGTAACTAACACTACCATAATTAGTAGTAGTATGATGGCATGTTGCATTTTTTAACTATCTTTGAAATAACTCACTTGATAAGTTTTATCAGGTGATGTTTTGTGATAAAATACGTGAATCTTAGAGAGTTGAGAAGAAGAATGAGGCGTATACTGCTGTGCTGATCTCAAGGCTGAAACAGTTACATATAAAAGACAGTGTTCAGCGAAGAAAATTTTCTTTATCAACGAAATCATCTTCAGAGGCTGTACTGCACAGTCGTATTTATACTTACCAAAGTATATATATATAGTGGTCTATTATTGAGTAATAGAGAGTGATATAATTGATATAATTACTCGGAAGTGGCTTTAGAAGTGAAAGTTAAAAGTTGTAAATTACTTGGTACTCAACGACACAAAGATAGAAATTTGATAGGGTTAAAATTGCTTTTGAGTTAGAATAAAGGTGCTAGTTGAATGTCCAGTTAGCAAGTGTGAAGAGAGTGTGAAAATGTACAAAAGGAACATATGAAAATGATAATAGTGAATTAATTATTAAATAAAAAGCAAACTAAAAGTAAAATAAAGAATGAAAAGAAGAAAAAATCCAATTTTTTTTTACAGGGAAAAGGTTAAGCCGAAGGTAGAATGAGACTGGACAAACTTTTTCTGTATACAGAGTTTAGGGTTGTATTGACGAGTTGCCAGCGCCTCCGCCATACACAAAAGCCGAAACCTGACGCCCTTTGTACCATTTGGCCTCACCTTGCTGATGATCTTGAAAGACAACTCTGGTAAAGCTACGTGGCCTGAGTTAACCAAATGCTCGAGAATTGAGCTAGTAATTGTCTTGCATTGTCCCTTTGCTAACCATGCCGGATAATGTTCAGAGATGCGTTTGGAAAGTGTGCGCTTTTTGTGTGCGGCCAATATAACTAGCTCCACACGAGCAGGTGAATTTATAAAGACACATTGAAGTGGCCCATCCAAAGTGGCAGTTTATCCTTCACACATCCATTGATCATTTGTCGGCTGTAGAAATTGATACGTAGCTCAGCCATAAAGAAGGCTTTCCTCAGTGATCTGCATAAGTGATTCTTCAGGATCTCAGCTGCGGTATCACCTTTAAATTCAACAATCATAAATAGCAGTTTCTTTGACACCGTCTGGGTTCTTTCAGGCCTTTTCCTTAACTTCATGTTTTTCTGGATAAATCCTGGAGGATATCCATTCTCTATGAGAACTTGTCTGAGTCGTCCCAGTTCCCTCTTGATTGTATTACTGGAACATATCCTCCTCATTCTTGAGGATGAGAAGTGGATCAGGTTTCTCTTTCTTCTCAAAGGGACCCAACTATGGAAACTTGTGTACTGACCATTCCATGTTGGTTTCCTGTAGATCGATCTTTGAAGAGAACCATCAGATCTCCGTTTTTGGAAGAACATCCAGAAAATGGATATCCGAGTTCATCTCTGATTTCGACGTAAAATTGGATGGTATGATGGCAGCTGTTGAACTCTTTAGTTATCAATTCGATGCTGGTATTGTCGTCATATATGATGAAAGTATCATCCATGTATCTTTGGTACAAATGGAAACCATCACACTCACATAGACTAGAAACTGGAGGTAATCAAGAATGGGTTAGCCAAGAAACTCATTGATTAAGTTTTTTATAGTTTGGTTTGTAAGGGTTAGTTCTGTTTTTACGAGTTGATCACGGATTGATATCACTTAAAGAACCATTGAAAACCAGCCACAGGGAGCACTGCCAGACAGCTGTTCCATCCTAGTTTGGGAATCATCGCCAGTACGCACCTACTGGGATTCGAACCCAGGACCTTCCGGTTACAAGGCAAGCTAGCTCGTATACCACTCAATCACTGGGACCCGATTCAATGGCCAGCCCATGAATTCTAACTTTTACCAATTCTTGATTTAGCGCGACCCCAACCGGTGTCGTCGGTGGGACATCCATCTTCACACGTGACATCTGGATGGACCTCTCTGGTCATGACTTCTCACTAGAACTCCAGGAAAGTCCGTCCATCCTGTAGCAAGTCACTAGCGAGCATCAGATTAATTTTCTATAGTTTGGTTTGTAAGGGTTAGTTATGTTTTGAAAATTCAAATAGTGTCTTATTAATCTTTACTCATTTCCTCTTTATTACACAAGAAAGACCTTAATCTAAGCTGGTATTGTTATGTCCTAGTGCAGTGTTTTTATCGAACTGAGCAGAAGTTAAAATACAAAAGTCTAGAAGCTACCCTTGGTTTGGAGCTGTTGTTCATTTCTGTTTGCCTCCAAGTAACGATCGCCACAGAAGTCATGTTGTTGTTGTTGTTGTAATGTTGAAAAGCCATTTCTTTCATGAATTATTTTCCTCCACTATCTTCTTAATAAGTATCCTATTTCCTCTTAGAACTTCTTTTCTAATACAGAGTACACTTCGTTTACTTTATATGCTTTTTTCCATCTTTCAGTTTTGTTGATTCGATTTGATTTGATTTTTTTTGGATTGTAGTATCATTCTATGCTTCCAAGTAATCAAACAAAGTTCAATGATTTGGATATGGAGTCTAGTTCATCAATTCCTTCGCCTCGTATTATTACCAGCAATAATAATAATAACAGTAATAGTAATAGCAACAACAATAATCATTTCAACGGGAATTCTAATCACACCAATAGTAGTAACAACAATATGACCTTGAGGAGTAATACTGAGTCATGTTCTTGTCAAAACTCACCACACAAACTAGACATTCATAGTATTCATAATAATAATAATAATAATAATAATAATTATAACACAAATATGAACACAATGACTGCATGTTTTCAAAATCATCCACACTGTTCTTCAGGCGGAGAATCATTATATTCCCACAATAATAATTCCAATAATGGCAGTAATAATAACAATAATAATAATGATAATAGTTCTAGTACCACTGGTAACTCTATTAAATCAATGTCTTCAATAGATTGTATATCCAATTCTATGCCATCCTCATCGGAATACTTGAATCCAGCTGATGAAGAGCAAGCGAAAACAGCAGCTGCTGTCGCTGCCGCAGCATGTATTGGTAAGCGGATGATGATGAATGTGACGATATTTGTTGTTTATTGATTGACTAATAGTAACCAATCGATAATTGTTTTTTTGTACTATATTAGTGAGCTACATTGTGCGTTTGGGTTTTATACAGTGAGATGACTCTTGGTTACCTGAACATAATCCGATCAAGTGGGGTCAACAGCACTTAGCATCAAAAATAAGATCCGGATTTTCAACTCCAATGTGAAGTCAGTCAGTGCTACTATACGGATCAGAGACTTGCACTGCGCGTCATAAAGAGCATCTCAAACAAACTACAGACCTTCATCAACAGCTGCCTTCACTCAACACTCAAGATCAGATGATTGGCCAGAAAAGATCAGCAACAGAGATCTCTGGGAGCGAACCAACCCAGTAGGAACCGATTGTGAAACAAATATGCAGAAGGAAATGGAGATGGATTGGCTGGCCATACTCTGGGGTAACCATCAAGTGACATCACTAGACAAGCCATCGCTCGAGTGGAACCCGAAAGGGAAGTGGCGAGTTGATCGTCAGTGCGAAGGTGAGGTGACTTGGAGGAGGTCATGTGAAAAGGAGATGAAAACGTGTGGGCAGACTTGGAGCCAGGTGAAGACTCTAGCAGAGAACCGAACGCCATGGAGACGCACGGCTGAAGCCCTATGTTCCTCCAGGAATTAAAGGAAACAATAATAATAACATAGATCCATTGAAGAAAAAAATACCCAAGACAATGACTTATTGTTAAATGATGGTCGGACTAATATTTAGAAAGAGATTGAGACCAAAGTGACCTGGACTGTTGTACGCTGTTCTGGTTTTCTGTTGGCGATTTTTTGAACTCTACCGTTCTCTTATCTGTTTATCTGTAGGGAGACCATCCACACTCACCCTTACCCTCACCGTTATTAATGGAAAAATTAGTGCCTGTAGAGGGTTGTGACAGTACTACATCAGTAGTTCTGGGGACCGATGTCACTTGTTTTCACAAAGTGAAAATCATCTTTTAATACGTGCCTATGTGCTTGTAAATAACTGGAGATTAGTTATTGAACTGTTTGGTCCCATTGATAAATTTCGATAGAGAGAAAGAAAGACCAGATTTGCAGGATAAAATGTGATGTCATCAGTCTATTTCACAGGTTCTCATCAGCTAACTGCAAACGGCTAGCTGAAATTACAATGGTTATCAATAATAACATTTCATACTTTAATGTTTGAAAGGTAATTGAGAAGACATTATAAGATGAACACATCCGGAATATAAGTATTACAATACTTTTTAGGTCAATTTACTTTGCCCTATAAGCTATAAGGAGGGATTAGTAAGGACACTGCACGACAGGGCCAGGAAGTTATGTTCTCCCAACAAGGTAGACGAATAATTAATTGTTGAAAGATGCCTTAAGGAAAACAGGTATCCAAAAGGATTTATCCTGAAGTACCACAAAGAAAGAGATGAGAAAGCGAAGTATCCAACAGTTGTTAAGGAGAAAGTGTTCATTTACCTCACATATAATGGAGAAACAGTATCGCAAAAGATTGAAAAGAGGATGAAAGGAGCAATAAAGAGATGCTTCCCTGCAGCTAATCTGGTGACAATGTACTGCACTAAATGCTATAGAAGCCAGTCGAAACTGGATAAGTAACCTGCTGAAATTACCTCCAATTCCTTTACCTCACTAAGCCAGTAATAGAACTAGTAGAGAGGGAAGGTTGGTCATGAGGCTAGAAACCCCATCCTGTAAAATTTAACACTGCTACAGAAACTTCAGGCCTCTAGCTTGAAGCCATATGTTCCACCGGGAATGTGAAGGAAGGGCATTTATAAATTTACGTGCACCTGCGGCAGCAAGTACATTGGAAGGACAGAAAGAAGGGCGTCTATCCGGTTTTCAGAGCATATTCCGAGAAACGTATGCTTAAAAAGTAAGCTCAGCTGAGCTGAGCTCACTAGTGTATATGACTAATCAGTGTAATGAAAGTAATACGGTTACCGAGGGAGTGAGAGAAACTGACTACACTCTCTCTTTCTATGTGCATAAGTTTGTTCTGAAACGTTTGATTACAATTGCTTCACCAAATCGTAGTGGAATCGCTGTCCTTTTTATGTTTAATATTTTGAAGGATTTGGAAATCTGTACAAAATGACTCGTATCCACAGGGTGGGTGTTTGGTAATTGCACTTTGTAAATATCTGCGTCCTATTAAGCATAAATTTCTCGGAATATGCTTTGAAAACCGGATAGAAGTCCTACCTTCTTTCTGTCCTTCTAATGTACTTGCTGCCGCAGGTGAGATTGATCTCATGGTCAGACTGTAGCCTACATTAGATTATTTTTGTTGGTCGCCGGATAGTCCTGTCTATTTGGCACTACTCAACTCATCCAAAATGAAATTTCTATATTCGGTCTGAGTGTTGCTTGGCTAAGAATTCGCATGTCAAACTGTGACAGTAAGCAAGTCAGTCATGCAGCTTTCACAAATGCTGTCTTGCTTTACTCGAAGTTGCACATTACCACTGGTGGTTGGTTTTACTTTTATTAGGCTAAGTTGCTGTAGGTTGTCGATAATGGACTTTATGCTTTCTTTTTTCTGGAGTGTCCTTCTTTCCCTTCTATTCAGCGTTTTTCGCCTTGAATTCCCCTGTTGTGTGAGCTGGATGATGTTTTCGAGTAGAAACGTTTTGGTGAATCGAATATGTGTTAGGGAAGACCATCCCAATCACAGGTCTAAATCATGCCTGCCTTATAGCAGTGTGTATAAATCTTAAAACCCCACCTACATTGTAAATAACTACTTAATGTGGTGTAAGTGACTACTTCCTTCCTTCCTTTCTTCCCGTAGATCATGTACCTCATCAATTATACCATTCAGTGTTTCGATGTAGTGAAAATGCATCAAAATCTCAATCATTCAAGGTTAATTAATGATTAGGCTATACCCTTTGAATTTGAAGGAATCAGGTGTCATGCTTAAAAATGATAAACTTCAGTATACCACTTTTCATTTGAGCGCCACATATAAATTCACTCTGCACTGAATATAGAGAAGACGGATGTGATGGCAGTGTCCAATCAACACCGCCACCAGTAACAACAACAGACATCAGTCACCATCAATAGGAGAAATCTACAGGGAGTCACCTCTTTCACCACTTACCTAGACGGCGTCGTTTCGGTCACATGTGACACAGATGAGAATGTCGAAGTTAACCAGTATCGGAAAAGGAGAACACACCTTAATTACCCTGTACTCAACACTTATGCCAAGTCAGCCAGTGCTTCCATATGGTTCAGAGGCCTCGCGTACATGCCGCAGGAAGCATTTCCAACAGACTGCTGTAGGCTTTTATCAACAGTTTCCTTCACTAACACCCACCCGATGGTGAAGATCGGATGACCAGAAAGGATAGGCAAGCGTCAAGGGAATTCACTAGGCAACCAACTGACTACTCGTCGAATTTCCGAACATCACCCTGCATGGTGGTTAAGCAAAGGACAAACAAAATCTATTCACATAGCGCTATTCTATCTCACTCACCTTGTGGATACAGAACACCAGATTGACGTTAATCATGCTTTCAGGGTCATTTACCACATATCAACGAATCTCAATTTTGCCTTAAGAGTTCAACTACTAAATATTGCTGAGGCTGGCTGTTGGGATCCACATTAAGAAGCCTAATTTGTGCATCAAAAGAAGTTAGTTCAGATATTATCCTTACCTCGGCCATCTAGGTTTGAATGAACCCTTAATTTCTGTGGAATTTCCCTAATTTTAGCTGATATTCTATTTGCTATTATATCTTTATTATTATTATTATTATTATTATTATTATTATTATTATAATTTAAGCATCTTTAATGAACTGTAATTCCATTGATCTTACTTTGCAAATCGATATTATTCAAAAAAAAACATCAATACTGTTATTGACTACTACTCTAGAACATTCTATGTATATAAATATGCATATGTAATTGTAGAGCCAAAGAAGGGAATTATCTATCGAAAAGGATATTCTTCGCTCAATTATTTTGTGTTTTATAAATATAAAGAAGGAAATGGAAGTTGAATTGGACACACACTGAATGGACCGTTAAGTAACATCACGCTCCAGACCCCCTCCTCCGGATGGAAAACGATGAGTTGGGTATGGGTTCTGAGGGTAGCGTGGAGAGGAGATCATTTGACCAGGGGTAACAACTTACCAACAGTCTTCTGAAGCCAGCTAGAGACGACTTCAGAAAAATGTGTGGAATGCCAGTGTGCTTTTGTGGTCCACTTTTGTCCCACTCGGAACCCAATGGGAATAATAATAATGATAACAATGTAATGATCTTTTCCTTTATACTTTACATCTAAATTCTCTTTGAATTAGGTATAATCGGTTCCATTGCGTAATTCCCAAATTGAAGGTTTGTCACCAATTTCTGTCCTGTTTCAAATAATCTTTTCTTTATAAATATATATATATATATATCCAAGGTATTTGTAAACATTTCTGTATTGTATTGAATTTTCACGCGTATTGTAGGCGCTATTTTCTCTCAACCAATGGCTGCTGCAGCAGCAGTTGCAGCTAGTGGTGCGGCAGGTGTTGGCAACTCAGCTCCATCATCAGTTGCTGCAATGCTTGGAAATTTAATTGGTTGTAATGAAAAAGATATTATGAATGCTGTTCAATCGTCATCAACGTTATCATCGGTGTCGGCGTCGGCGTCGTCATCATCATCTTCGTATGCCGGAGCATCGTTATTATGCAACTCATCTAGACATAATAACTGTTCTATTAGCAATAAATGTGATTCTGATGCTACTGCAGTTATCAACCGTTGCCCACAGCAGCAGCAACAGCAACAACAACAGATTTCTAAAGTTGATGAAAAAAGTTCCAAAGATGATCATCAAAACGAACATGGCGGTAGTGGTGGTGGTGGTGGTGGTGGTGGTGGTGGTGTAGGCGTTAGTAATAATAATAATAATAATTCGATGGATCAAAATAATGTTCAATCGAATACTGTCAACATTTCTTCATCGTCATCAGATCGTTGTAAGTGTGCAAATACCTTATTGGATAATAATAATCCACATTCTCTTCAAGATGCAATTACCTCAGATTCAAGCAATTGGTCCAGGTAATGTTTCTCTCTTGGTTCTGATGAAAATGCATTTTATTTTATTTGAGTTGTGGATGTGATTTTTGTTGTTGTTGTTGAAATTTCATGCCTTGAATTCAGAGTGCAACACAGGAGACTCCAAACTTGAGGTTTGAAGTTTTAATAGCAGTGGTGTTGTTTTTCTTGTTTTTTAACGGAACGGAGTTGCTAACTCCACGCCTGTAACGACAGAAGACAAGAGTCAGGTCAGACAGATCGTTTATTGAGAAAATCAACAGATATTTATAGATTTTTATGTTCATTGTTATTCAATATTATTGGCAGAGAAACAGCGTCTTCTGATTGGTTGTTTTCTCGCCAAAGGTTATTCTGTCATCGCTCTGTGGTTGTTTCTTAGAAAGTCAGGCCATATATCTGCGAATCATATTTGCACATGTTAAATCTGCTGTGATTTGTTGTTGACTTCCTCAAGGTTATTGTTTTTTCTCATGACCCTGATTACGGACGTAACGCCGACGCAAATTGTTGTTTACAATTTTGGCTTGTTCTCTGCCAGCTCTCACCACACGCCCAAACCTTCCTTTTCTGAGCTCGCTACTGGAAAGTTGAGATGTAGGAGTGCGTTGGTTGGGGGGGGGGATCGAACCCCAGATTGCGTGTGTGGTTGGTGTGAAGCGACGTCGATCGAGATGCCTAGGACATGTGTTACGTGTATGCCTCTAACCATCGCCTTCTTCAACTGGCCATTTTAGTTGATATAGAATCAGGTTGGAAAATAGCTATTGGTGGTCAGACAAAAACATGACTTCATCAGTCAATGAAATCCATAACATGTTTTGTTTTGTTTCTTTTTTCCTCTAGCGTAACAACAACAATGGCGTCAGCTGCAAAAGCTGCAGCTGCAGCTGCCGTCGCGGCTACAGCTGCAGTAACTGGTTCCGCTAATTTCTTCCGTCTAACACAGTTGAAAAATAAAGTTGATCCTCAATTACAATCAGGATCATTATCATCATCATCATCATCCAGTGTGACGCCGGCATCATATTTATCAACCTCTAGTCCCTCACTTCGGTGTATTGATCAGTCTAGAAATCTTCGGCTGAGTACTACTACTACTACAGATCAAATGTCTTCATCTGTTATGGTTCATAACGATGAGGATGAGGATGAAACTGAACTCACTGGTTGTTTGTCAACTAAAGAAGCTGTAACAATGACAAGTGCTGCAGCGGCTGCAGCAATGGTAGCTGCGGCGGCTACAGTCGCTGCTGAACAACACCAGTTGATTGGAAATAATTTTTTATCTGAGGTAGGCTAATTCTCGCATTTTTCTATATATTTCTAACCTTCATAGTGTCTTGTTATTTTTTGTTGTTGTTGTTGTCATATCATAATCACTCTGGTAGCGTAGCATTTCATCGTTACTCTCATGCTGAACCATCGTCTTTCTCAACGATTAATGTTAGCTGACATTAGTCTGTAATTAGTCTGTAACAGAGTCAGTCAGGCGTAGTCGGTCGAAAATCTGGAATCAGTCTATGAAATCATCGGCTGTTGGTGTTTGGGCAAGCCACAGAGGGATGTGTAGACGCTATTAGTCAACGGTTGGAGAAGACTGTTGGTTGTACGACTCAAAATCCTTCTCATTGGAGTAGATGCATCTCAGATACATTTAGCACTCATGTTTTCCAGGTTACTATTCTTTCTCACACACATTTATGCTGATTACAGTTCTATGGTAGTCTCTTTTCATGTTACCTCTGTGGGCTGTAAGAAATGTGACGAATTGAATGCTGCAATTCTGTCCAGACAATAGATTTCAATAATAATAATAATGACGACACCAACAATAAGGAATCTAAACCATCAGTAGTAATTCTATACAAGGAAGGAACCTCGGAAACCTTTAACCGACAAAGCTTGTTTCTAATTGAGTTTGTGGTTTTGAATGCCAGCCACTTTTATTCCTGCCTTGTTATGAATTCTGCGCTGTAAGGTTTCCAAGGTTCTTTCCTTGTATGGAATTACTACTGATGATTTAGATTCGTTATTGTTGGTGTTGTCTTGGGCATATTTGACATGCATATCGTCATTAATATTATTATTATTATTACTATCACTACTATCATTATGTATTTTATTTTTACATTTCCTTACATATTTTCTGACTAATTTATCAGAGCATTTTTAAGTTTCAAAGCTTCTCTTACACGCTTCACTTCCTGTCTTAGATTTTCTTTGGTACTACTACTTGATACACACAAAATAAGCCTTGAAACTTAATAATTACCCTGATAAGGAATCTAAATCATCAGTAGTACTTCCATCCAAGGAAGCAACCTTGGAAACCTTACAGCGCAGAATTCATAACAAGGCAGGAATAAAAGTGGCTGGCATTCAAAACCACAAACTCAATTAGAAACAAGCTTTGTCGGTTAAAGGATCCTGTAGAGTGTTTAAAACGAAACAATTTAGTTTATCTAATACCCTGCAATGATTTTCAGGTCAAATACATACGTCAAACTAGAAGAACAGGGGCAGTCAGATTAGCTAAACATAAAAACTTAGCAAAATCTAGATTGGTTGATCCAAATAAGATAAGAAATCTACAGAATAGTTCAGCAGTTATAGCACTCACTACATGCAATTACACACAACCATACAATAGGCTGGATGGGATAAAATGACAGTTTATAAAATCTAATCTAATGTCACAGGGTGGAGGGAGAGATTGATAACAGAAGCTTTGTTCATCGAATCAACTGCAAATACATGTAATAGGAATGATTCAACACCTGTCCACTCAGATATCTGGAAAATTCTACCACCCCAACGATGACAAATAGGAGAGAACAAAGAAAACTATGAAACTCAAGTTTCAAAGTCGTAAGATCACAATTGATATGATTATGAACAATACATTTTGTTCGAAACTTTGTCATCGAGTAAATAATACTGTTTCACTGTGTGATATACCTATTAAAGAAACAAATATGGAAGGAGAACAGTCGGTCAAAAGTGATTTACGATCGGAAATACTCACATAGCAGATATGGAGATGAAGAAGGTATACTGTTCAACAGAGAGGAAAGTAGTATAAAGAACATGAAATGTGCATAAATAACATTTTACCACAAGAAGGTGACTATGCGAGGTCAAATAGCATATTGATACATTAAATGAGATAAATTCCAAAAGGGATCAACATTGGTTAGCAAACTCATACTACTTACTAGTAATAAGTAGTGTAAGTCTAAACACAAATAAAACAGTGAAAGAGGATGGAAAAGAAACTCAGTGTGATACCCTTGTACATAAAGGTCCTACTTCACTTCATGAATTGTAAGGCCTCCAGCGTTTGAAGACGTTAGAAATATAGTCAGTGAAAAAAGTTTGTATGAGCTTGAGAAATAATCTTAGACACATTGATTGGACACTAGTAACTAGTATGATCTGTCTAGTCCTTTCTTTGGTGCAGACTGAACTCTGTCAATCAGGTTTGGAATGTGGTCACCACTCTACGTAGCTCGCCATCACGGTGCACATTGGTTTGATGATATAAGATGGTTGGAGGTAATCGACAGGAAACCCCGCTTGACCTAGGTTTCGCGCTAGTTGGCGCTCGTCAGCAAAGTGTATCTGCAACCTTGAAGGAACGCCCTGCTGACGAGCGCCAACCAGCACGAAACCTAGGTCATACAAAGCTTCCTGTGGCCGATTGCCTCCAACCATCTAATATCTTAAGCTCATTGCTGAGACTTGACAACTGACGGAACTCAATCAAACTTTCCAGAAAAGAATATCTGTATTAAACCTTAATGGGAGATACTCTCATATCCATATACGAAACTGTCTCTAGCTACGACCCCTGAACCTTGCTTGCTTCACGAAAGCAGGTTTATTTCGGCCAGACGACGGGAGTCACCTTTTACATAGACGGAGAAGAGCTTCTAGCTGGTAAAGATGAATTCTAGTTTTACTGCGTTGTATGTTGTATTTTTTTGCGGAATAGGATATATCTCAATAGTATATCTCAAGTCCAATCGCCTTTAGATTTCCGATTCCTGGTGACGGCTTTCCTTAAAAGTCTTAGTGATCAGTTTTTCTCTTAAGTTCTAGTCAATGAAAGAGTTGGCCTAACCAACTGCTTTAAGCACAGCGTGCGTGTGGTTCTATGTTACTACAATTTGGACTACAAACCTTTCTAATGAAATTTTTATCATTGTTTAACACTCACTGTGTGTAAATTTCCTCATGGGTACGACTTGTGCGTCGGTGGCACAGCGGTTAGGACTCCCGCCTTCCATGCACATGATCCTGGTTCGATCCCCTGCTGACGCACTCCCGATATCAATGGTCGGCCTGCTAAATTTGGTCTACCGATATCACATACTGAAAATTCCATACTTGTACCAAAAATACGGTGTGGTTTCAAGCTATAATCAAAAAGAAAGAATATTCTTGAGGAATAAACAGCTTGAAAAAAGATCAATCCGTGAGTCCAACTGCTGTCATTCATATTATTATGGATGTAATTTTGTTCCTCCCCCCCCCCTCACTATATCTTTTTTTATACTTTTTATGATAACAACAGATCAGCCATTCAAATAGATCAGAGAAACAAGATGCGCGTCGAACGAATCCAGGAAATTCTCGTCTACTGAACACTGATGAATATGATTATCATCGAGCATGTTCATCCTCTTCATCGCATAATGACTTCGCTTCACCTTCATCCTATGAAACAGACAGTCAAATGTATTCTCTAACTCGTCAATCGAATCGTTATTCTACAAAACGACATAAAAATAATAAACGAAGAGCTACAGTCGATTGTCATTACGCTGATTACTCCTCCAGTCTTCATCCTCGTCATCCTCGACATCATACAAGTCTGCCGCGGTCTGTCGATGATGATTATGAAGATGAAGATGACGATGATGGCGATGCCTATGAAGACGATGATGTCGAATCAACTGCTCTTATGTCTCCATCACCTGAAATCACTCCACCCTACAATCTACCACCGTCTAAAATGAGTAAACGGGATAGTTTATTAGGCTGCTTGTCGTCTTATTCTCGTGGAGTGGATGATGATGATGATGATAGTAGACCAGCATCTCCAGATCCATGGAGACCTACAAATCGTAAAATTGTTATCTCTCGGACTACTGGTGGTGGTAAAACTGATCGCCTTGAAAGCAGTAGTAGTCATACTACTACTGCTCAATCAATAAATACTCCACATTATGCCAATAATGAAACTACCAGTACCACTACTCCAACTACTTCAACTCCTACTACTACTACTAATCCTCATCCTGACCTTTTAACCAGTAACAGTGTGTCTAGTTCCCACGTGAATCCTATGCATCGTCATCGTCGATCACTTTCAACAAGTGCTTTGTCATCCAGAGCATCCTTTGAACTTGTGCTTAAAGTTCGATCCAAGTCATTTCCAGCTTTACATCGTTTACACTCTGGTTATCAAAAAGATCATAAATCCAGTGTCGTCTTTCCTACTTCATCATCAAGTTGTGGTCACAGATATATTTCAACAGAAGATAACCTCCCTGCTGTATGCTCAACTGGATCTGGGATGTCAACTTCATTGTTTTGTCCAAAGAGTACAGAAGTTGATATGAAGGTATTTCCATCAACATCATCATCATCATTATTGTCGTCATTATCCAGATATCGAGGAAGAGGAGGAGGAGGAGGTCCAGCATTTGTTAAACGAAAACTACGTCGAACTACTCATCGTTATTCATCTCGACTTTCTAATAGAAATAATAACCCTAACACTAACACTACTACTACTGCTAATAATAATCATTCTTTCCTACACGCAAACACTAGAAGACCGTTAACAAATGTTTCACCGACATCAGTTCTAAGCGAAGAAGGCTATAGTGGACGTGATGATGGTGATGATGATGCAGATTTTGTAGATCCTGATTATGATGATGATGAAGAAATGTATATGTTTTCTGTTCCTCAAACATCATTAAAGCGGTCATCATCGCATAGTCTTGCAAAGTATTCAACGAAAAGAAAGCGTTCTGTGTATTCTTCTTCTTCTTCTACTACATCAAATGTTCATTTCACTTCAACAGCATCAATAAAACAACAGTATGCTCTTCGAGCTGAAAATGCTCGTCTCCGGCGTAAACTTCTCGATGTAATGCGTCAACGTGGAGATTTACGAGCTGCTAATGAAATGCTCCTGGAAGAAATTGCTCGACTAAGACAATCAAGACGTGTTTCTGTCGTGGCTCGTATAGCAGAGTCTGCGACGAAATTTATTGAAGCGCATAAAAAATCTCAACTTGCTCAATCGAAGAATAATAGCTTCTCAGCTGCTTCAAGTGCTGCTGCTGCACAGTCGACTGTACCGTTTTCAATTGCTCAAGCAGCTGCTGCGGCGGCGGTTGTAGCAGCTGCTGCTCAGAGCGAAACTAATCCACCGAGTGTAACTGGTGTCTATGTGTCATCGCCTACTGCTTCTATTCATCAGCACAATTCACCAACAATCAATGCTCAAGGCGGTTGTGGTGGTGGTGGCGTTGGCGTTGGTTCTAGTAGTATACATCCTTTGTTTTCACAAATTGCTTCAGGAAATACTATTTCTACTGGTATTGCTATCCCCTCGAATCATGCATTGACTGCTGTACAAATACAGGCGCCAATAGCTCCTCCACCTCAGGCGACTGCATTAATTCATCATCCACAAGGTTTACATCCTCAACAACAAACTGGAATATCCAATTACTATCAGCATCAGGTAGGTATATAGTGAATGTTTTTCCTTTTTGTATACATATAAAATGATATAATGTAATGAATAATTTGTAAATGTTTTATGTGGTTTTTTTTATTTAGTAAGAGAGAGAATAAGGAGGATCTGTTCATCAGTGATCTACAGACTTGAAGTTTCGGTAGCAGTGATGTCTATTTTTATGGGATGGGGTTGCTAGCCTCATGCCCGATTTTCCCTCTTTACCAGTCTTATTACTGGCTTAGTGAGCGAGGTAAAGAAGTGCGTCGGTGGCCGGGGATCGAACTTCAGACCATCTGCGTGGTCGGCGAGCATCCTAACCGCTGTGCCACCGACGCATCGCTAATTGGATTGGTATATGAGGAATAAAACAACAGTGGTATTTGTAATACTCTAATAATTCGTGTTTACTTATATACACCTGTGTATTGATTCTTGCTTGTATGACATTACTTATAGATGAATCGTCCAATAGACACTTTGACTGCATCAATCGCCAATGCATCTGTCTCCCCCGGTATGCAAAACTTATCTCAATCTTCTTCAGCTTTCCAAGTATGCCATTATCCTGTTGTTTCAATTGCAAATGTCTTCCCTAAATTATCACAAGATGTTATTACGTCAGAGAATGCAAAATTAGTGCCTGTCGGTGTACCGAATACAGTGACGCTACTTTTAGGTCAGAGTACAACACCACAGACATCGACGTATGCTATTCCTGCTTCAGTCGCCTCTCATCCTAGTGTTCCAATGCAAATTCCTGTTTCTGTTGGAACGCATTTAACGCCAACGGTTAGTAGTTGTCCACCACCACCACATCGTGTTGGTCCAGCTAAACTCCTTGTTTCTGTAGCCTATCCAAATCAAGCTGCTGCCGCCGCCGCCGCCAGTGGTATACCACCGACAACATCAAATCAGTATATTGCATCGAATCCTGTGAATAACAGTAATAATGTACAGACGCCACCTGTGATGCCTAACAATCATCAAATTCAAATTGTACATAAACTTACAGTCCCACACCAAACAACATGTACAAAATGACCTCAAATTATATATATATGTGTATAATTTGCTTGTAAATTCTTGATTTCTTTTCTCCTCTCTCCCACTTTCCTTTTTTTGTAGTTTGCTAACTTCACTTATGTAGTATGTTTGCTAATTTCTTAACACTACTCTTTATGTATGTAAATGTATAATGTGCCTGGTTGGCTAATCAATGTCTTCTAATCTCTTTTTTTTTAAAGTCTCGCCTTTTTAGTTGTACAGTATTATCTATTATTCTATAAGATAATGATTATTATTAGTAGTAGTAGTATTATTATTATTTTTAAAACAATTAGTTCCCTTTATTAATGTAGTTAGACAAAGCAATAAGAAGGAAGACGTAATTTGTCTGAATCGTGTGTGTAATGTTGTATTTGCGCGCATAACGCATTTCGAACAATATGATCACGCTCCACGGAATTGTCATACAATAGTATATATATGAAATTAATAAAGAGTTAAGAGATGAGAAAGTAAACTACTTAGGTCAAGTTAAAATTACATATTAAAGATCAAAGTAACAATTGAAGACCACTAAACCAAATAACAGAGGTAATAGTACAACTGCTATGGTATCAAAACAAAATTTACCAAAGAAGGTTTAATGTGGTGACGAATTGTTGCTTTGAACGCATACAGGTGGTTTAAACTTCCTAATTGCTAGTTAGGGCTTTCACAAACTTTAGGATACGCCCTCCCCCAAACACGTTTTATTGATCGGTTTAAAAGATGTGTTAACGTCAATTTTATGTCCTGTCTCCTCTGTAATATGTTTCGCAATAGAGGAGCTAGGTCTCCTGTTCTCACTATTAATGGGTTCTGAAGATTCTATTTGCTTTTGGAGCCAATTAGGAATATGCTGTGAAGCCAGTCTCTACTTGCAGAGATCGATGAGTCCCCCCTCCTATGTATGTGTGTCCACACGTACATTCAAATTGGTCAATAAAGTGGGATGTGACATCATTTTTCGTATGTTCGAAGGGCTTAGATGGAGATATTGGCTTCACATTCTCAATGATTATGATATTAGCTGCATAAAATGTCTTTTTAACAGCAGCAGCGTTCAGTCTTTGTCTAGTTATCAAGCTGCTATGATGCCCCATATAGGGTAGCTTGATGTACACGTCTTTCTTAGGGGCGAGTTTGGAGAATTGGTCTTGGTGTTCCACTGACTACTTTATATCTCCTGATGAAGTTGTCTGGATAATTGTTATCGACCAGAGTTTGTGTCAACTTTCTTTCTTCTTCATCATCATCAAGTGTGTCGGTCTTCAGTGCATATTCGTTGGATTCTACTGAAGAGGCATCTCGCTAACTAAGGCTCTTTTGTACCGAACAGGACAGAAACTGTGGTAATTAAGATACTGTCCTGTCCAGGTAGGTTTTCTATAAATAGATCTTTTTATTGACCCATCAAGCCGTCGACTAAGCAATATGTCTACGAAAGATAAACATTTATCTTCCTCTTCTACAGATGTAAGTGATATGCTATTCTGAACTTCATTCATTCGATATAAAATTTAGGTGGCAGAACAAGACTTATCACTGATGATTACAATATCATCTACATACCTTCTATAAAGTAGCAAATTTCCGATTAAATCCTCCGATAAATTAGTATAATTATTATTATTTTCAAGTATTGGTTTTGTAGGCAATTTTGTTTGATTGCTTGGTTGGAGGATTTCATCATGAGCTGACATCAGTTAGAGAGAGAACCATTTGAAAACCTGCCATGGAGCAGTACTGCCAGACATCTAGCTGTCTCGTCAGCCTAGTTTGGGACTCCATATTAATTTGTTTATTAGATACATCACACAGTCAGTGAAACAGTATTATTATTTACTGGGTGACAAAGTTTCGAACAAAATTTGTTATTGTTCATAATCATTCCATCAATTATAATCACACGACTTCGAAACTTGAGTTTTATAGTTTTTTTTCTTTTCTCCTATTTGTCGTAGGGGTAGTAGAATTTTCCAGATATCTGGGTGGACAGGTGTTGAATCATTCCTATTACATGTATTTGCAGTTGATTCGATGAACAAAGCTTCTGTTATCAATCTCTCTCTCTCTCCCTCCACCCCGTTATATTAGAGTCGATTTTAAAACCGTCATCTTATCCCATCCAGCCTATTGTATGGTTGTGTGTAATTGCATGTAGTGCTATAGCTGAGCTATACAGGATCCTGTAGAGCCTTTAAAACAAAACAATTTAGTTTATCTAATACCCTGTCTGCAATGATTGTCGGGTTAAATACATTGGTTGAACTAGTAGAACAGGGGCAGTCAGACTAGCTAAACATGAAAACTTAGCGAAATCTAGATTGGTTGATCCAAATAAGATAAGAAATCTACAGAATAGTTCAGCTATAGCACTACATGAAGTTACACACAACCATACAAGAGGCTGGATGGGATAAGATGACGGTTTTAAAATCGACTCTAATATAACGGGGTGGAGGGAAAGATTGATAACAGAAGCTGCAAATACATGTAATAGGAATGATTCATCACCTGTCCAGTCGGATATCTGGAAAATTCTACTAGCCCAAAGACAAATAGGAGAAAATAAATAAAACTCAAATTTCGAAGTCGTGTGATTATAATTGATGAAATGATTATGAACAATGAATAAATTTTGTTCGAAACTTTGTCATCCAGTAAATGATACTGTTTCACTGACTGTGTGATATATCTAATAAACAAACTAATATGGAATTACTTACTACCACAGTGATCAAGTTTTACACATATACCAGTTTGGGACTGTCTCTTCATCAGTTTTCACTCATATCGCGGGGTTCGAAGCCAGGGCAGGACCTTCTTGGTTACAAGGCGAGCTAGCTTGTCGACCATTAAACTACTGGTGCGATTGTTCTGAATAATACTTGTATATTGTTTTTCTTTTTCTATGATGGATAAGTTGTGATATATCCATTAGTAGTAGTGTGTAACAGCAGAAGGCGAAACACGGAAACCGAGGTATATTTTTCTCCAAGTGGTTAAACCGCTATGTTTATGTGTACAGTTTATATTCTTTAAGCAATCACTGAGTGTGTGATTTTGTTTTACATTAAACGCGACATGAAATAGAATCTTCAAATAGATAGATATATCGTATTCTGTTGCTAACGGCGTATATTGAACTGTGGGGAAATGTGAGAATACTTTGTCTGTATCACACTGAAACGGTAGAAGATGAAAGATTTGGTAAAGGAATGTTTATTTAAAAGTCTCTGATCCGTATAGCAGCACTGACTTCACATTGGAGTTGAAAATCTGGACCTTGTTTTTCATGATGAGTGTTGTTGACCACAGAGACTTGAGAGTAATGAAAGCTTGTTTTGCTTTCGCGATCCTCGCTGCTTTGATATTTTCATCAGTTCCGTTCGCCTGTAGCAGAAACGATGTTTCCCAGGTGGGTAGGTAGGTAGGTAAATGAGGTTGCTTCTTTCACATTTCTCTTATTCATGCTGATTGTTGTCTGTTGCTGTTGGCCAGGAATCTTAATCACCTCTGTTTTCTTTATGTTCACGTGAAGGCCTACCTTAAATATTTCTTCTGCCAACTTGTTGCTTTTTACTAGCATGTCTTCCAGTTTGTTGGAAATCAGATATATGCTATCATCGGAGAAGTCCAGATCCTCCAAGTATTTTGTGTGGGTCCATTTTATCCCTGCTTCTTTGCTGCCCGCTGTCTGTCGCAATATCCGGTCTATCGCAGTCAGAAAAATCATTGGCGATAGTAGGCAGCCATCCAGCCCTGTCTTACTGCCAGTCTTCACCTCGAAGGATTTCATGAGTTTCCCGTTGTGGATTACTTGGCATGCAGCGCTGTCGTACAACTGTTGGATGAGATGTATAATTGTCGGTGGCACCCCATAGTAGCGAAGTAGTTGCCAAATCACCTCACGATAGACGCTGCGCTATCGAAGGCCTTTTCAAAGTCAATGAAGTTGAGACAGAGAACTGACTGCCATTCCAATCTCTGTTCAATGATGACGTGTAGAAGTTAGAATTCATACACTGGTCATTCAGTCTGGTTGAGTCCTAGTACCTGAATAGTATATGAGCTGGCTTCGGAATCGGAAGGCTCCAGGTTCAAACCCTGTCGATGGGTGCGTACTGATGACGAGTCCCAACCCGGGCTGACGAAACAGCTGTCCAGCTTACCCTGTTTTTCAATGGCTCTCTCATTGACGTCAAACTCGAAAACACAAATCAACTCTTGAAAACTGGATAAAGCAAGTTAGGTAGTCATACCAATATATATTCGATATGATTGCAGACAATAAATCCTGCTGGAAATTTCAGCTGGTTATTAAGGCTTTATATTAGTGCGAGTCTTATGAAGTAAACTTATCTAATAGGAAAGTAGATTTTTGATTGGACACTAGTAACTAGTGTGATGTGTCTGGCTAGTCCTTTGTTTGGTGCAGACTGAATTCTATCAGTCGGGTTTGTAATGTGGCCACCATGCCACTAGGTAGCTCACCATCACGGTGCACATTGATTCGATGATATTAGATGGTTACCGATTGCCTCCAACCATCTGATATAATGCGAAAGTATGTAGTGACACATTCTCTGGTTGCTTCTCGACAATTGATTATGTTGGAGCACCTGTTCAAGTTGTTGAGACAATCAGTTTTAATACTATTCAACCCTGAACACTGGATAGATTTTTTTATTATTATTTTATTTGTTGTTATCCACAGCTTGGTTTTGCGTATCCTGAAGGAATGACGTGCCTCAAGTCTTTGTCAACCGCATTCATCAGCTACATGACAATGCCACGTGTCAAGTGATCCACAACGGGAAACGCACTCAGCGAGGCGTTCGAAGTACATACAGGAGTAAGACAAGCTGGCTGGCTGCCTATTATAACCGATAATATTCTTAATTGTGGGGGACTAGATTATGCGTCAGACTGTGCAAAGGGAGCGAGGAGTCAAGAATACGCTGGACGACCAATAAGAAGACTCTAGAAGATGTGAATTTCGCATGTGGATGATTTATATCTAGTGTCACACGAACTCTGACGTTTACTAGCAAAAACCAACAAACCGGATTTAGAAGCTGGCAGCGAAGAGAGGACTCCAGGTGGACATAGAGAAGAAGAAGAAGGTGATGA